TAATATTAATCTTCTAACGTGTTCTTCCATTGGTTTTTCGTTCACCGTTGGTTATACCCGAATCTGAAACCTGAACCAATCTGGGGGAAAAAAATACAATATGTTAATTTTCACAAATAATTTTTTTTTTTTTTAAAGATGTAAGTCTAAATATCTCAAACATAATCAAACCAATTATAAACAACGTCTTAAATCAATAAATAAAAGTAAACATATATTCAAACATCAAATAACTAACATCATGATTTCACGATTAGACAAAATAAACTAGACTTTTTGTGAGTTTTATTTGGGGTGTTGAGGTAAATTGGTTAAAAGTCTTTTAAATTTTAATGTTAATATTACCTTTTAATGATAGATATATATATATATATATATATATATATGTATGTATGTATTAATTAAAATTAATATATATACACATATCGGGCTGGACCGCTGATCATCGTCACTGGCTGACTGCCTCCGTTATTAAAATATGATTTATTTGAAATAAATTAAAATATCTTTTAATGGCATTTATTTTGAAATCATATGATTTATTTGAAAACTCTCAAACATAGGATTTTGAAATCCCACAGGGGTTGTTGGGATTTCACGAGATTTCGTGGGATTTCTAAATCCCCAGGGTGTTTGGGATTTTATGGGATTTCGTAAGATTTCTATATAATAATGTTTTAAAATATGTTTAAAACAATTGTTTTCTAATAATTAATTAATAAAAATAAATTTTTATTATTTCTTATTAATTATTTACAAAAATGGAATTCTATTTCATTCCAAATCCATCACACGAAACGCACCAAATCCTTCAAAACTCAAATCCCTCCAATTCCAAATCCTTCTATAAAATCCAAATACCTCAAAACCATAATAAAACAAAACGAGCCCTTACATTATTTCAAAAAAAAAAAAAAATCTAAAACATAAAAAATATAAATACTTTACGTCTCGTTTGGTTTGTAGAAATGAAATGGATTTGGAAGATTTGGATTTTAAATCCATTACAATCTCATGTTTGGTTTGTTGAATTGTCTGGATTTAATTGAAATCCTACAAACATAGGATTTTGAAATCCTTATGGGATGCTCGGGATTTCGTAGGATTGTATGAAACAAAGTTTTAAAAATATTAAAAACATTTGTGTTGTAATAATCAATTAATAAAAATGTAATTTAATTATTTTTATAATCATTTATAATTCATCTATAAATAATGAAATCCAATTCCATTTCAAATCTTACAGACCAAAATCTAAAAAAATCATATTATAAATAGCAGAGAAGATACACCAATTATTTTTATTTATTATGAATTGATAACACAAATTTATTGTTTTATAATTTTCTTAAAGTATTAAATATATTGAAGATTTTAATAATACTAGAACTCTAGAAGGGTATTCACACAATGCAGCGAGATATATCTCAATCTTACTATTTCATTTTTTTTTTGTTTAATCGATGTTACAATAAGGTTTATATGGTTTTGAGAAAGTGATAATGTTTTATTTTTAAATAAAATATAAAATATTAATATATCATAAAAAATTGAAAAAATATTGATGTTAGTACCAAACTAAGTATTTAAATTTTCTCCTTTTTCTATGTATTGCTTTAGTAATTTTTTTTTTGATTTATTAATATAATTGTTTACAAAAATAATTATTAAGTATTTTGTTAAAACTCAATGATTATCTTAATTATGTTTTAGATTTTTTATATTTAAAATTAGATGTTTATCCTCTATTTGATTATGTTTATCTGCAGTTAGTTACATGAATTCAAACATGAAACTTTAATATGTTGTATATACGCACAATTTATTTGTAATTTTGAATTGTAAGTAATATGCATTAATAAATAATATTTCATGCATAAAAAATGATTTTTAACAGTTTTTGTCAAATGCTTTATAATATAATATAGATAATTTATATTAAAATCCTAAAAAAATATTGGAATTAAATGTATATAAGTTGTAAATTTCCATTCAATAATTATTTAAAAAATATGAAAAAGAATGTTGTCAATTTCTCTCATTGGTTAAACAATGTTCAACATAATATATGTGTGTAAGATTTTTTTTCCTGCAATTAATTACACGAATTCAAACATGAAGTTTTAATAAGTTGTATATACGTTCAATTTACTTGTAATCTTAAATTTTAAGTAATATACATTAATAAACAATACTTTATGCATCAATAATAATTTTTAAGAATTTTTATCAAATATTTTATAATAAAATATAAATATAGATATATTAAAATAATAATTTATAAAATATTTCAATAGTGCAATCAATATTAAGGTTTTTAAAATAAAGAATCTTAATATAATTTACATCAAAATTTTTAAGTTTTAGTTTAGAAAAATTACAGACATCTGATAGAGCATCTCCAGCAATTTATCTAAAATAAAGAAGCAAATTAAAATTTTAAAAATAAATTATATTCAATTTCAACAAATTAAAATTTCAACATCAATTATATTATAATAATCATATACAATTTTAATATCTCAATACATTTTTTTTATGAACCTGGATATCCAACCCGCTATGCGAGCCGACTAATCTCAGGGCGACCACCTGCTTTGAAGATAGTCAAGAGTCACCGCATTTGAACCTTCGTGGCCACAAGGAGATTTTTATTTATCCTTGGATTTGAATCTGAGACCTTCTGGTACTTTTGACCTTTGGAGCCATGCTCAATACATTTTTATATAAAACTAGAAGGGTACTCGCACAATACAGCGAGATACATCTCGATTTTAATGTTTTGTCTTATTCGATGTTATAATATGGTTTTACATGGTTTTGAGAAAGCGATAACATTTTTGTTTTTGAATAAAATATAAATATAAAGATATCATAAAAAAATAAAAAAATATTGATATTAGTACGAACTAACTATTTAAAATTTCTTCTTTTTTTATATTTTTTTAATTCATTTTTTT